AAAGTCGCCTCTACAGACATCGGATCCCAATCCCATAGAGTACCTTTGAAAGGTGGTGAAAATGAACATAAAATCCAGAAGATGCAATCAACCAGTCTCGAAGAAATGTGGAATGTCGTAACAGTCAAAAAAAATGCTATCAGAACATATTCGAATCCATGCCAAAAAGAATTAAAGTGGTTCCAAAGGCAAAAACGGTTCATTCGATTAATTGATTGATCGATTTATTTTTTACGGCTTATCAACCTTTTGCAATTTATTTAAAGCCCGAAAATCTCTTTAGATTGTAAGAAATTTTTTGTGGGGGATATCAAGTTGAAGTGGATCCATATCTTTCTCAGGGATCTTTTCTACAAGTACTTTCATGGCAACTGCTCCGACGAGCTACTTTCAATGGTTCCCAAACTACATGAATTTAAGCGTGCTACTATGTTGGCATCTCAGTCTCACCCTTTCACTGTCGAAACGACTAAATGTAGCCATCTTTTCTACTACAACAGCTTCTTCTCGCACCTCCCGTCAGTGGAACTCCCTTCCTATCACTAGCTTCCCTGATAGCTATAATCTTGAAATATTTAAATGTAATGTCAATCGACATCTTCTGATGCTTTGACCTTCTATTTATCCTTTTCAAAAAAAACTCCTCTTTACTCTTAGTCTGACTCTCTGTTGCGTGCTGGTGACACTCCCGCCTTGCTTGGGGTGATTTTCTTTAAAAAAAAGAAGAATATAATGAATGCGACTATAATTGGAACTCTGTTCTCCGATTTTCAATTCAGTTATCCATTACACCATCCGCACATCCAAGATTATAGCATCTGATATTCACAAGCTGTCACCATTCTAAGTACTGACAAGGCTCGATATTGCTTAACTTTGCTGATCGTAGGGAAACACAGAAAAACGATCCAACCCCTTACTAGAAAATTATACTTAATAAAGTGATCAGTGAGTGTAGAGATTAATGCGAAATGGAAGCCACTAGACCATTCCAGTTCTTTTGTTTTGGATTATATTTTATGTTATTTATAGCCCTGGCCTTTAGTTTGATTATTTTGCTTTATTACTATTAGTCACGCAAAATATAAAAATATGCAAATAGTACTATCCTATCAAAACACATATGAACATTAAAAAAAACAAACGAGTTCACGCCAAAAATAACTTGGGAAATAAGAAAAACGGCACAAGCTGACAACACCTCAAAACGATGCAAACTTTTTCTAAAAAAGAAAATAGCAATAATTACCTCTCAGAAAATCCACCTAATTTGCACAGTGGAGTACTGACCATATAAATATGGTTGGTACCGGGAAGAGATATAGGTTCTCTACTTACACTGGAGATAAACATAGAAATCGAATGTTAAGAAAAGACAAAAGCTAATCAATCTATTACCAAATATATGTTACTTGTGCCGTGAAATTTTAATCAATTCAGTAATAAAATTCTAATTTAGAAAATAGAATGTATTGTTCTTGCCAGTAAATTTCCATTTATGTAATTTATATCGCACCGGATTTCAAGTTGAACTCTTATATACGATCCATCGCTGAAGATGCAGGTAAAAATGATCGGCTTTCTGTACCGCTCTAGTAAGTACCTGACTCTTCATGCTATCCTCTTAACTTTATAAGAACCAAGTCAGGCTGAAAATGGCGGCTCGGATTGAGGAATCGGAGAGCAGAGTTCGAATTCCAGTCGAATCCATTGCATTCACTTACGTGCTTTGGGAAAGGTGTGTATACTCTTCTTCACCCCCAGCTATGAGTAAATAGTACGGCAGACTGGGTTCTATAACCGTGGATGGTCTATCACAAAAAGAAATAGCAACCTACTGCGGGGAAAAAATTCTGCCTCGTCAGTCATGTATCGAAAGATACATGATTGCCTAAGCATGTATCATGCATGGCACATAACTGGCTGTTAATATATTTGGGTGGGAGCTGCCCAGTCCTCACTTTACAGCCTTGATATAGTCTCTGAGTCCTTGTTGAAGAATAATTATTTTTCGCCCTCCAACTACTTTCTTACAGGCGGGGTGTGGCAATTCTCTCACTATCGCTATGGAAAGTGCTCGGTCGAACTACATTCCATAGTTCCGCCACATTTGATCTTCATGGCTAAGACCCACCATGCCGCTTATATAGTAGCATCTTGCCGTCAGCAAAGTGACGGTGTCGAACTAATACTGAATAAATGTCGAAATCGAATTCGCAGTTAATCTAAAGAAAATCCAGATAAAATGTCTATATTTCCTGCTCTTCCCTGGGGGTCAAAGATTAATGGTTAGGGTTAGGGTTAGGGTTACGTGCTGTTTTCATCTGTCCCTCTTTCCTTTAACCTGTTCTGTGAGTATCAGATTTTCCAAGCCTTCTTTCCTCATTATATACCCCAGAAATTTCAACAACCTCTTCCTGGTGTTAAGTATAAGTTTTCTTATGTATATTTCTGAGATGGGGCATTGTAACTATTTACTTTTTATTACGACTATTTGTCTTTATTGTCATATTTACTAGGTTTCGGCTGTTGCACGTTTCGGCCTTCTTCAGGTGATATATATTAGGATTTCGAAACGAACCCTTTATTTGGTCCATTGGGGTAGAATGATCTTTCTGTTATTTCTCCCAAACCCTGTTCTAACATCCATTTACTCAAGTTCATCAAGTATGTCACTGTTGTGGCCTTGTTGGGGGCCAGAAATAAAGAGAGGAATTAAGTTAAAAAATATATTAACAGAAAACAGTAATACAAAACATATACAAACGAGCAAGAATATTCTGTCCGACTGTCAGAGCTGAAACTACACTCTCTAAAAAGGAGTACCTGCTCTTATTTGTAACTGGGAGAGTTCATTAACATAACAGTTACGCATTGTTTTCTTCTTCTGTTCCTCTTTCCTTTAATCTGTTCTGTGAGTATCAAATTTTCCAAGCACTCTATCCTCATTATGTACCCCAGAAATTTCAACTGCCTCTTCCTGGTTTACTTTTTGTTTCCATTTTCTCCAAAATCGCGTCGTTGCTCACATGTTCGGTCAGTGGTATCCTCAGCGTCCTTGTGTAGAAACACATTTCTGTTACTTCAAGTCTTTTCTTCATCCGTGAGGAGATTGTCCAGCATTCACTGCCATATAGGAGGACTGATATTACATAACAGTTCAGTACACTTTTCTTTGTTTCTCTTGCTTCAAGTCTCTTCTTCATCTGTGAGGAGATTGTCCAGCATTCACTGACATATAGGAGGACTGATATTACATAACAGTTCAGTACTCTTTTCTTTGTTTCTCTTGCTTCAAGTCTCTTCTTCATCCGTGAGGAGATTGTCCAGCATTCACTGCCATATAGGAGGACTGATATTACATAACAGTTCAGTACTCTTTTCTTTGTTTCTCTTGCTTCAAGTCTTTTCTTCATCCGTGAGGAGATTGTCCAGCATTCACTGCCATATAGGAGGACTGATATTACATAACAGTTCAGTACTCTTTTCTTTGTTTCTCTTGCTTCAAGTCTCTTCTTCACCCGTGAGGAGATTGTCCAGCATTCACTGCCATATAGGAGGACTGATATTACTTAACAGTTCAATACTCTTTTCTTTGTTTCTGTTACTTCAAGTCTCTTCTTCATCCGTGAGGAGATTGTCCAGCATTCACTGCCATATAGGAGGACTGATATTACTTAACAGTTCAATACTCTTTTCTTTGTTTCTGTTACTTCAAGTCTTTTCTTCATCCATGAGGAGATTGTCCAGCATTCACTGACATATAGGAGGACTGATATTACATAACAGTTCAGTACTCTTTTCTTTGTTTCTCTTGCTTCAAGTCTCTTCTTCATCTGTGAGGAGATTGTCCAGCATTCACTGCCATATAGGAGGACTGATATTACATAACAGTTCAGTACTCTTTTCTTTGTTTCTCTTGCTTCAAGTCTCTTCTTCATCCGTGAGGAGATTGTCCAGCATTCACTGCCATATAGGAGGACTGATATTACTTAACAGTTCAATACTCTTTTCTTTGTTTCTGTTACTTCAAGTCTCTTCTTCATCCGTGAGGAGATTGTCCAGCATTCACTGCCATATAGGAGGACTGATATTACTTAACAGTTCAATACTCTTTTCTTTGTTTCTGTTACTTCAAGTCTCTTCTTCATCCGTGAGGAGATTGTCCAGCATTCACTGCCATATAGGAGGACTGATATTACTTAACAGTTCAATACTCTTTTCTTTGTTTCTGTTACTTCAAGTCTCTTCTTCATCCGTGAGGAGATTGTCCAGCATTCACTGACTTATAGGAGGACTGATATTACATAACAGTTCAGTACTCTTTTCTTTGTTTCTCTTGCTTCAAGTCTCTTCTTCATCTGTGAGGAGATTGTCCAGCATTCACTAACTTATAGGAGGACTGATATTACATAACAGTTCAGTACTCTTTTCTTTGTTTCTCTTGCTTCAAGTCTCTTCTACATCTGTGAGGAGATTGTCCAGCATTCACTGACTTATAGGAGGACTGATATTACATAACAGTTCAGTACTCTTTTCTTTGTTTCTCTTGCTTCAAGTCTCTTCTTCATCTGTGAGGAGATTGTCCAGCATTCACTGACTTATAGGAGGACTGATATTACATAACAGTTCAGTGCACTTTTCTTTGTTTCCCTTGCTTCAAGTCTTTTCTTCATCCGTGAGGAGATTGTCCAGCATTCACTGCCATATAGGAGGACTGATATTACATAACAGTTCAGTACTCTTTTCTTTATTTCTAACGAAATTTTTCTGTCTCTTAATACTCTGCTTAGCTTTTGGAATGCATCTTTGGCCTTCACAATTCGTCTTCGGATCTCAGTGTCGAACTTTCATCCTCTGTTAGAACACTTCTTAAATTTTTGTACTTTTTTGATTTTAGTATCTCCGATTTTTAATTTGCATTTTGGGATCCTCCTTTTGCTGGTAACCATGCATTCTATCTTCTTGCAGTTTAGGCTTAATCCTTTCTTCTTGCTTTCCTTCGCTAGGAAGCTTTTGTAGTTTTCTTTCTGTACTGCTGTTTTCTAATCTTAATTTAAGTTTTTTACAGGCTTTTCACTTAGTCCAGCCACTTTGTTCTCTCTTTTGAAAAAAAAAATTATATTGCTCTAACATCTCACTCTTCTGGAGATCATTCAAGATCGGTACCTCCCCTTGCAATGACTGGTTTCTACTCGACGCTACACATTTTCACTTCTCTATTTTCTCTGTATTTTCTTTACTTTGCTAAGCCTTAAACACCACCAATGCAAATGATTTGGATATGGTAGCTAAGAAAAATTCACGTAGGTTTTCAAATAGATGGTTTGCCTGGTCGCCTATAATATCAGCAATTTCTTGGGGTGTTTTTTTTTATATCTGGATTTGAATGTCGACCTCTGGCACAAGAATTCAGCATTTTTTTCGCTCCGTGTTTCTACCATTTTCTGTCTTACCATAGCGATTCTATTATCCTAGCCTTACCACCCCCAACTCTTCCATCATGTTTAATTTTTTATTTTGAAGATTTTTCTCTTTGTCTATCTTCCTCCTGCATGAAGGATGCTTATTTTTTCTTCATCGCAGCGGCTGAGAAACCCTGTAAAGATGGCTACGGACGCCGCACACCATTATACAGATATCCGTCTATCACTGGAAAGAAAGTAGTCCAACAGGACTGATGTGTTTGTTAACTCCAGGTCGATGTTTCAAGAAGAACTAGAAAATGGTACAGAAGGAATCTCATGTGTTAAAAGTAGGACATTATGAAAGAGAAAAGATTGAATGAAACAAAATAATGGTGAACGAACGAAAAGAGAGAAAATAACATAGAAGAGCAAAAATAAAGGGGTTCAATTGTGAAGATGTGATTGAGAAGGATATATATATATATATATTATAAATTAATTGATTTAAAATATGTTTTTTTCGCTACACAGTTCTAACCGTGATTCAAAAATGAAAGCTAAAAGCCACGAATTTAATTTTGTGATTAAATTAAAGACATATACATATATATAATCCGGTGTTCTTATAGATATTTTTATTCCATTTCATCCTCAAGCGAAAATTCGCTTGAGGATGAAATGGAACTAATGTCTTTAATTTAATCACAAAATTAAATTCGTGGCTTTTAGCTTCCATTTTTGAAACATGGTTAGAACTGTGTAGCGAAAAAAACATATTTTAAATCAATTAATTTATAATATTAATGTCTGTAAATTTACATTGAGCACTATTTTGTAAAAATAAAAATATCTATAAGAACACCGGATTATATATCTTGCTGTTCTTTCTTTCTTTCTTTATATATATATATATATATATATATATATAATTGAAAAAAATTACCTCAACATGGGATAGTCTATTTCAAGCCGTTCTCTGCGCTGGCTATCATCAGCCCCTAAGTGCCTGCCACAGAGCATTGTTTTAAATTTATTTTTGTTTTTTCGCTGTAAAAAATTACGTATGATCTGTTATAATAAATACACATAGCTCTCTGTGGATTAGTTTTAATAATTAATATTACTAGGATCCACCCGGATTATATACCAACGGATCGATTACCTGTACTATACATGCATATACATACATACATAACACACACACACACACACACACACACATATATATATATATATATATATATTACAATGAATCGTTAATACATATAGCATATATTTTTTCGTCACGGATGCTACCCGCATTTTACCACAAAGAAAATAGTTTCCATGCCTGATGATGACTGAAGAACCTGTCGAAAGTACTTACATATTTAAGGAAGACCTAATACGGTTTATAATTAAAAAAAAACAAAAAAAAACCTAAAAACCAAGGATCATAACATTCATCGAGTGGTTAGTTGACTAATGCATTTTTAAAATTTAGTTAGCGAAGTGAATTCGCCATTTATTTCATTAACTTTATTAATTTACTTTTTGTATCAATGATTCATTGTAATATAAATTAAACTGCACCACATAATTTATATATATATATATATATATATATATATATATATATATATATATATATATATATATTTATTATTTAAAAATAATTATAACATAAGTATGTTATAAAATCACTACAAAAAATAGCCATTTTGTTTCAACACACTGTGTCTTATCAAGTGATGATGTTGAAAATATTTTCCAAGGATAAGGTGAGTCACTTTTATCGAATAACACTATATATATATATATATATATATATATATATATATATATATATATATAAGTTCAAATTACCTATTTAAGGAACGCATGTTCAAATTCTGTGAATCTATATATACTAGTTTTCTTTTCCTATCAGAAACGTAAAGAGCAGGAACTTTTAAATGGATATTTTAATCTGACGTTATATCTTAAGTCCTAACAAGTGATGTGCGTTCCTTAAATAGGCAATTTGAACCTTGGTTTATCAAGATAGTCTCCTGTGACCTAACTGGTAACAGCACACACCGGTCATATATATATATATATATATATATATATATATATATATATGTAAAATGTGTATGTATAAATATAAATAAATATATATATACATATATATGTGTGTGTGTGTGTATATATATATATATATATATATATATATATATATATATATATAACACAATCAGGGATGAGAAAATCTGAAGCGAATGGTAAGATAAAGCCTATAAAAATAAAATGGAGGCAAAAGAAAAATTAACCGAAAAAAAAGACATCGAATTTAGAATTAAAAGATGCAGTAGTGAAGATGTTATTTAAAAATCAATACAGATAAAGATAGACAGACAGACTGAGAGAGAGAGAGAGAGAGAGAGAGAGAGAGAGAGAAAAGAGTGTGCATGAAAGACTAAAAGAGAGAACAATACAGAAGGAGGAAAAGAGAGTGTGTGGGAGATAAACACGAAAGAGAGAGAGAGAGTAATGCAGAAATAGGTAAAGGGATTGAGTAGTAGCAGAGAGAACAACACTATATGTTTGTCTTTCATTCAACCTCTCTCTCTCTCTCTCTCTCTCTCTCTCTCTGTATTGATTTTAAAGAGAGTGAGAAAGAAAGACAGTCAGTGAATGAGGGACGATAAGAGAAAACACTGCAGAGGGAAAGAGAGTGAGTGAGAGACGAACAGAGAAAACAATATAGATAGATAGATAGATATGGAGGGTAGGATAAAGTAACCCTTAGAATAGATTGGAGACACTGCATGAAATATGGCCTCCAATGCGCAGAGGAGGGGTACGATCATTCATTAGCATCAGTAGCCCAGAATGAGCAAGTGAAGCTCATGTGAGATACAACCAACTTAACTGACAAGCGCTTGGAGAGCAATCATCGTGACATCCAAACTGAGCATAAAAGCAGCCCTGAATTTATTCTGACAGACGTTACTGTACCTCGGTATAAGAACATTAAGAAAGCAGAGCATGCGAAAATTCCGAGGTAAATGAGAGAAATGTCCGAGAGAATTTCCGGAAAATATAAATAATAAATTACAGTGGTATTTCAAAAGCTCATTTCAATCGACAAAAGCGGACCTGGCGATTGTCAACAAATCCTGAACGCGATTGCAGCAGAAGACCGCAGGGTGAAGCCAAAGAAAAACGAGAAAAATGTAAGAATTTCGCCTGAGAAGTAACGAAGCTTCCAAACGGTTGTGCCCATAATGAGAGGTGCACTTGGAACTTCGCCAAAACATTTGAATTGAGATTTTAAGAACTGAAAATTCGAGAAAGTATTCAGAGTGTTCGTTCAACTGCGAGTTGATACTGAGTGAGGTGCTGGAGATTTGTGGAGACTTACTCTCGTTCAATTTCACGAGATAACTACCGGAAAATTGGCGTGAACATGCAAAAGAAATATAATAAAGAGAAGAGAGGAAGGAAAAAGTACAAGATAGGGAGGAAGAAGAAACAGAAGAGGATGAAAGAGAAAAAAGCAAAGGTAGCAGAAGGGGAGAAGAAGGAAGGGCGGAAAAAAGGAGGAAAAATAGAGAAAGATGTGGTAGCAGAAAAAGGGGAGGAAGAGAAAGAAGACGAAATAAAAATTGGAGTAGAGGAAAAGGACGATGGAGAAATAGAAGTGGTAGAGTAGGAGGAATAGGAAATAAAAGTGGTAGCAGACAAGGAAGAGAAGAAAGAAAAGGAAGAGGAGTAAGAGTATTAGGAGGACGTAGAGGAAGAAGAAACAAAGGGTGTAATAGAAGAGAAGGACGAAGAATAAATAGAACTGATAGCAGAAGAGTAGGAGGAGAAAGAAGAGGAGTAGGAGAAGAAGTATAAAAAGAGGAGGAAGAGGGAAAAAAATCTTATTAAAGAAAATATGCGCTCTCCAGCAGTATTCGAGCCTGCTGTCCGGACCTTCTTTGATCCGTAAAGCTTCCTCTTGGTCGAGTCGGTTAATCGGATCTAACGACGGTTTCTCTCTGCTCAGAGGCACACAGGTTCGAATCCTGCCAGAAATCGAATATTTTTCTTTAATAAGATTTCTCGAATATTCAGGCCGGTAGACGAAGATGAATAAATATTTAATAAATAAACGGGGCGTCTACTCAAATATGAGTATCCACTAAAAATAACGTTTAAAGTGCTAAAAATCTGTCGGATTAAATTAAGAAAAATCGATTATCCATCTTTAATATATAAAGACACAAAAATAACATCTTTTTTTATTATTTACCAATTAGCAGTATCCTTCATGCAGTGTGATTTTCCTTTCTTTTTTCTCTGTTCACTCTTGTAATTACTTTCGGCTTATACAACACATTTTCTTTCCGGCAATTTCCCTACAATGGACATTGGATTTTGATTCTAAAATTTAAGAACATAAGGAAGAAGAGGGTCTACACCGGGGCAACTCGGAAATAATTTAAAGAAAGATATGCAAACCATTTGCTATAATTCAAATACGAAACACAGATAAATAATACCACGCCGACAAAACACCTATGGGAACTAAAAAAAAAAAGTAAGGGAAAAGACCAGTTTTAGAATGCGATATAATAAAAGAAGAAATTGCAATCTATGCATAGAAGAGAAGGTGAAAATCATAGATGTCAAGATTGTGACAGAATTAAAATTAAATTATATTATAAAATGTCAACAATAGGATTCATTCCTTTTGAAAAACGAGAAAAAGAACTATAGAACTAGGAAGTATCCGAACATAACAAACGCCCATTTTGAAAAATCACACTGTGTGTTAATGGGTAAATAATCAATAAATGTTATTTTTTGGGCATTTAAAAGCTCTTTTAAAAGTATTTAAAATAGTACACTCTTACATACATAAGAAAAAGAGTGTTTTACTATTTCTAAAATAAATGGGAATAAAGTTGATATCTTTTGTATTAGATCCATTGAATAGAAAATATATTCAAACCAGAATTCTAATTATGAATCACCACAAGCAAAATATACAACTTTTTTTTTACTGTATTCAATAAGTAAAAGATTACAAAATGTTATGTTCCGGAAAGGGTTATATTTGTTCGAGGTAGCAGAGTGGTTTTGGACTACTGTAACCGAGTAGGAGAATCTATCAGGTAACCGTAATGGACAGGTCCTCGTCGTAGTGGTAGGCAATAGGCGTAGGCAGTAGGCGAAGACAGTAGGCGTATGCCAATAGGCGTCCAATACGCGTCGTCTTGTACCTCCACATCAGTCTGTATTTATGACTGACACCAGCCAATCATATTACTGTGAGGGCGAACCAGGTGTATGCATATTCATTACGCCGCAAAAAATGTTATTCAATGAATAAGATTTCTTAGATCATTTATTAGATTATAATAAAAACAAAAAATAGATAAAAGTTTATGTAACACCATAATTCTGCTGGGCACAACTTAAAGACAAAATGTTTTAAATTTGCATTGTTTATTGAAAATCACACTAAAACTACTGCAGTGTATAACATATTACATCATAATATAGCTAATTGTTCAGTATAATTTCCATTTGAAGTAAATTTATTTGATGATACAATGATTTAGTAATAATATGCTTGTACAATACATCTTGTCGATATACAATTTGTAAAGCTTCAGTAAATTATAAATTTTATAAGGCTGTTCTATAAGGATTTCACTGATAACCTGAATTAAATTCTAACATGACAGTACCTAATTTCCGTGGGATTTTGCTTACAAACTGACTTCAAAATTTTACCATTTGAAGAATAAATCCAAATAAAGTTGATATCCTTTGTATTAGATAAATTGGAAGGGAAATATATTCAAACCAGAATTCTGATTATGAATCAGAAGCAAAATATGCAATTTTTTACAGTATTCGCTAAGTAAAAAGAGTGTAAAAATTGTAAAAGATTACAAAAATGGTTACTCAATAAATAAGATGTTACACCATTTGTTAGGTCATAATAAATAAAAACAAAAAAATAGATAAGTATATATAACACCATAATACTGCTTGGCACAAATTATAAAACAAAATGTTTTAAATTTGCATTGTTTATTGAAAGTCGCACTAAAACTACTGCAATGTATAACATATTACATTACAATATAGTTAAATTCTTCAGTATAATTTCCATTTGAAGTAAATTTATTTGATGACACAATAATTTAGTAATAATGTGTTTGTGCTATGTATCTTGTCCATATACAATTTGTAAAGCTTCAGTAAATTATAAATTTTATAAGGCTGTGCTATAAGGCTTTCACTGATAACCTGAATTAAATTCTAACATGGCAGTTTTGAACCTAAACTTAATCTTTAAACTCGTCTCCTCAAAAAACGGTAATGATTTGGGAAAAAAACCCAAAACAATTTGTGTCATTATTTATCATGTCAAACTTCAACTTTCAAATTGAGTGCAGTATCATGCTTTTAAAATCATCCTGCCCTAATATGTGGTGTGGTGTCATGGATAATGACCCAGAATGCGAAGTCAGAGACCTGAGTTTGAATTCCAGTCAGGTTCATGTTTTAAATTTGCATTGTTTATTGAAAAGTACACTAAAACTACTGCACTGTACAATATTACACCATAATATAGCCAAATTGTTCAGTATAATTTCCCTTTGAAGTGAAGGTATTATTTGATGGCACAATGATTTAGTAACAATGTGCTTGTGCCTTGCTTCTTGTCTATATACAATTTGTAAAGCTTCAGGAAAATATAAATTTTATAAGGCTGTACTATAAGGCTTTCACTGATCACTGGAATTAAATTCCAATGCTACGATTTTGAACTTAACTTAATCTTTAAACTTGTTTCCTCAAAAAATATATTTTGTGTCATTATTTATCATGTCAAATCCCAACTTTGAAATTGAGTACACTTCCCAAATCGACCTGTCTTACTCCATCAAGCCCTGGTATTAATCCTATGGACTTTGCAATATGACCCTAATTGGAGAGCGATGTTTCACGTATCTGATATTCAAGTGTATCAAACCTGAAAGAAGTTCTTGTGACGTCGTGGTACAACTTGAGGGAAATGGTGGCGAAGAAGTCCTGCACTTCAGTTGAGAAGAGATTAAGGGCTTATGGTGAAGGCAAAGGCTGGCGAGTTTTAATTGACAATATATGTAAAATAGTATCAATAAATATAACAGTCAGCTTGTAAACTTTCATTAAATAAAACCTAAAACATTTTATTTTAAGATAAAATAAATAATGGGTAAATATATATGCCGCACTTGTTACCAATCATATATGTGTTGTATATTTGGGCAACAGCTCTTTTTTTATACATGTCTCAATGAATGTGATAGACAAGGAAAATTTAATGTATTTTTATTAAGTTTTTCTAATGTCTTTAATGTTTTTCTTTGGTGGAGTGGTAAGAGCGTGCAGCAACTGTCAGTAATGTTTATTGTTTAAAACTCTTTTGGCCGATTCATTAGCCATTTTAGGGGTTCGTTTTTAAGGTTTTTAATGTTTGTGTTCAAAGGTGTCAAAATATTGCAAGCTGTACATGAAAATATGGCTGTAATTCCACGTCGGAAATGAAAAGACCGCTCACACAATGCTTTAGACTACTCGGACGCTGGTCTGTGATCGAACATCCTGAAATACGACGTATTAAACTGTGGTTTATCCTACAAAGTGGGGGACGCACAACCCTACATATTTCTTTATTAAGTCTATCGAATGCGCAAGTCGGTAGGTATAATTGACACTCTTAAAACCAGTGCGTCTACTGAAACATGGGTATCCACAAAATATCATTTGGCCTAGTAAAATATATATTATAAGACGATTATGTTTTTAAGGAGTGTTGTGACCAAGTAAATAGTTAGAGAAATAACAAAAGAAGTGTTGCAGATATATCATATATTAAACAGTAAATACAACAGAAGAGTATGTATAGTGAGTGTGTGTCGGTTGACCCAGCATTCAATCTATTCGACTGTTATATTTAACAGCCCTGACGAGGGATGTATGTGCCACAAGGCCGAGTTTACCGTGGGTTTTCCGAGCCCGTAGGCTCGGCCAAAAATATTCCCTTAGAACCCGTCTAAACGGGTTCAGGGTCTGTCTACCTCCCCGGACGAACCTTTGCCTTTCAGCAAAGTTTCGTCCGGGTTCTTCTCTGCTCAAGACAGAGAGTTCGACAGTTGAACAATCTACTCGACTGTTATATTTAACAGTCCCCCACAAGGAATGTATGTGGCACAAGGCAGAGTTTAACACGGGTTACTCCGAGCCCGTAGGCTTGGCCAAAAATATTCCCTTTGAACCCGCCTAGACGGGTTCAGGGACTGTCTACCTCCCTGGACGAAACTTTGCCCTGCGGCAAAGGTTTGTCCGAGTTCCTCTCGGCCGAGGCAGAGAGTTCGACAGCTGAACAATCTATTCAACTGTTACCCCAAGGCCTTCTCTCCTACTAATCTTATAGTAGGCGGAAGAGTCCAAAATATTCTCTTTAGAGAAAGGACACCGCAACAAGGAAAAAAAGGCTAAAATAATTATCACTGTCCATCGTCTATTACAATACAAACTGATCAGAATGTGGTTAAATCTAAAGCATAATGTGGCTTCAGGGTTGTCCACCGGAAGTACATACAGGGACACCTATCCTTGCACCACATCGCACTTGCTTTTATTTATTTATTAATATATTATTATTATTATTATTATTATTATTATTATTTGCTTGTCCTTTAACTTTGATCTTCAAAAAATAAATGCAATGTCAATCGTTATCCTCTGTCTTCTTAATTTTTGTTCTTTTATTGCACTCTCTCCTTAATAATGCTATTCTTTTTCGTATTCTTTCACACTCAGTAATTCCTTGTGTCTTAGTGGCTTTATTGCCTTGCATGGGATGAAAGGATTTAAAAATATAGTTTCACAATTTAGAAAATCCCCTCAGAAATCTCGTTTTCTAGTAAAGTTTGATCTTCAAAAATTTAAGTGCAATGTCAATCGTTATCTTCTGTCTTCTTAATTCCTGTTCTTTTATTGTTCTCTCTATCTTTAGTAAAGTTTTATTTTTCTCATATTCTCTCACACTCAGTAACCTCTCGTGGCTTAGTGGCTTTATTGCCTTACTTGGGGTGAAATAATTACAAAATATCCAGCAGTTTCGCATAACATCGTCATGATAGCAGACCGTACAAAGGAATCGATCTACTGACATTATAACCAGTTGCGATTTAAGTCTTGAGATCTTCCCTAGAGAAGATGGGTACTTCAGCTAGTATATATCATTTTACTGCATTCATTGCTTTTCCCCCTTATTTTCTTTTATTTATTGCGGAGTGAGTAGACTTTTTTTATTTACTTCTTACCTTTTTCTGTTCAATCTCTATCAATATCATGATGTGCATGGATTGGATCTTTGTGAAAAATTGGAAACAACTTGTCTGAAAGAAGAGAATTCTGATCAGGATTTAGGTTTTCTAAAAATGGTAAGCATTGAAAGAAAAAAAGGGACAAAGGACGGAAGAAATAAGAAGAGAAAATGAGAAAAAAAAAAAAAAGAAAAAGAAAAAGAAGAAAATGTCCAAAGCTAGAAGTGTAATGAAAAAGAAGGGGAGAAGAAACAATAAGAAAGAATAAAAAGAAATACGAACAAGCAGCAGCAGCAGTAGAAATAGAAGTAAAATGAAAGAAAGAAAGAAAGAAAGAAACGAAAACAGTAAAAATAAACAGTAAAACAAGAAGACAACGACGAAGAAGTGGCAGATAAAAGAAAAAGAAGAAGCGAGAATAGATGAAAGAAGCAGAAAGAAAAAGATATACGAACAAGCAGCAGCAGCAGAAGTAAGAAGAAGAAGAAAGAACGAACGAAAGAAAAGGGAACGAAAACAGTAGAAATAAACAATAAAACAAGAAGACAATGACGAAGAGTAGCAGATAAAGGAAAAGAAGAAGCAAGAACAGAAGAAAGAAGCAGAAAGAAAAAGAAAAAGAAAAAAGAAGAAAAATAGAAACAAAAACATAATAAAGAAAGAGGAAGAAGAAAAAGAAAGGAGAGACAGAATAAAGAAAAAGAAGAAGCAAAAACAAGAAAGAATCAGAAAGAAGAAGAAAGAAGAAAATGAAGGTAGAAACAAGAAGAAGAAGAAAGAAAGAAAAAAGAAAGGAACAGACAGAAAAAGAAATACGAAAAAGCAGCAGTAGTAGCAAAGTAAGAAGAAGAAAGAAAGAAGAAAGAAAGAAAGAAAGAAAAAGGAAAGAAAACAGTAGGAATAAACAATAAAACAAGAAGACAACGACGAAGAAGTAGCAGATAAAAGGAAAAGAAGAAGCAAGAACCGGAAGAAAGAAGCTGAAAGAAAAAGAAAAAAGAAGAAAAGATACAAACAAAAACGGAATAAAGAAAGAAGAAGAAGAAGAAAAAGAAAGGAGAGACAGAATAAAGAAAAAGAAGAAGCAAAAACACAAGAAAGAATCAGAAAGAAGAAGAAGCTGAAGGTAGAAGCAAGAAGAAGAAGAAGAAGAAGAAGAAGAAGAAGAAGAAGAAAACAGAAATAAACAAAAAGAAAAAGAAACGAAAACAGAAGAAAGAAACTGGAAGTAAGAGAAAGAAAAATACGAAAGAAGGTGATGAAAAAATACAGAAAAAACCAAGAATGAAAATAAAGAAAAAAAAGAACTAAGTCGAAATAACGAAGGAGGAAAACAAAGAAAAAACGGGAGAAAGAAAGAAATGTGACAAAAACAGAAAAAAAAACCCGATGAAAGTAAAAGTAGAAAGAAGTATAAGAAAAAGAAAGAAACAAAAGAAGAAAGACAAAGACAACAAGTAATAATAATAAGAAGAAGCTGAAGAAAGAAGAAAAAGGAAGAGAAGAAGCGGTAAATAGAAAGATGAGATAACACGAGACGGAGAAGAATTAATGGACTTCATGCAAAACGACAAATGAGAGAGCAAAAGAACTGAAAAGTAGAAAAACATGAAGCAACGATAATGACAATGAAAAGATGAAAATAGAGAGAAAGGAGGGAGAGTAAGGATGATTTAATCATTAGTAATGAAAAAAGGAAGAAAAAAAGAACTAATTTGAATTCAAGGAAAATAAACATAGATAAATAACAAAATCGTAACAAATGAAGGACAAGAGATAAGGAAATGAAATGAAGAAATGACTGGGATATTGAACGAAAGAAAGAAGAAATGGAGAAGTGAAAGGACGAATTAATGAAAGGCTGAATTAAATGTAAGAAGAAAGAAAAAAGAACGAAAACTAATTAAGAAAAAAGAAAGAAAGAAAGAAAGAATAAATAAAGACTTAAATAAATAAATAAATAAATACAGACATGAACGAATGAATAAATGAAGGGAGGGGAAACAAAGAAAGGGAGAAGAAAATGAATGAAAGACAGAAAAAGAAATGAGAGAAAGCGACAAAATAGAAAAGACAGAAAGAAAAAAGAGGAAATAAAGAAATAAAGAAAGAAAGAAAGAAATGAAGAAATAAATGAATGAAAGGAGAGGAGAAAGAAAGAAAATAAGAAGAAAATGAAGGAAAAAAAGAAAAGCAAGAAAGCGGCAAAATATAAAACAAAGAAAGGGAGAAAGTATGAAATTATGGAATCAGTGAGGAAGGAAAGAAAGGAATCAGAAAATAAAGGAATGAAAAAAAAGAAAATCAAGAAAGCGACAGAACAGAAAAGAAAGAAAGAAAGAAGGAAGGAAGGAAGGAAGGAAGGAAGGAAGGAAGGAAGGAAATAAAGAAAGAAGGAAAGAAAGAAACGAAGGAATGAAACTAGAGGGGAAGAAAGAAAGGTAAAAGAAAAATTAAGGAAAAAAGAAAAAGAAAAGCAAGAAAGTTACAATAGAAAAGAAAGAAAGAAAGAAAGAAAGAAAGAAAGAAAGTGGGCGGAAATGCCGGAGAAATTAATGGAAAAAGAAATGGGGGGGTTATAAGAAAGAGATAAAAAGACGGAAGGGAATGAAGTCTGTTATTATAAAAAATGAATAAAGGAAAAGGAAGAAAAAAGAGAAAGGGTTTTGCAAGACAAGCACGTTAACAAAGAAAGTGTAAAAAAGAAAGAGCAAGAAAAACTGGAAAGAAAGAAAAGAACGTCATCGATAAATTAAGAAAAGGATACAAAAAAAAAAAAAATGAAATGAAGAATAACTTTGATGTAGAATGAAAAAAAACAACCAATAAGAGAATGGATGAATGAATAAAATGCCGAAAGAAAGAGAGATAGTCAAAAGCCAGAGGAATAAAAGAAAGAATTAAAGAATGAAAATAAAAGGAAGTCAGAATGAAAAAGAATAAAGGAAAGAGAATAAAAAATGAATAAAAAAGACAATGAAAAAATAAAAGGAAAATGAAAACGGAATAATAGAATACAAGAATGAAAGGAAGAATAGAATGAAAAAAAATGAAAATAGATTAAAACGATGAAAAAAAAAATTAAAAATGAAGCAAGAATAAAAGAATGAAAATTATTAATAGAAAGAAAATAATGTAAAGAAAGACAAAAGCAAAGAAAAGAAAGAAAAAAACTTCGTAAACAAAGAAAGAGTCAAGCGAGAAAGAAAGAAAGAAAAAAAAAGAAAGAAAGAAAGAAAGAGTCAAGTGAGAAAGAAAGAAAGAAAAAAAAAGAAAGAAAGAAAGAAAGAGTCAAGTGAGAAAGAAAGAAAGAAAAAAAAAGAAAGAAAGAAAGAAAGAGTCAAGTGAGAAAGAAAGAAAGAGTCAAGCGAGAAAGAAAGAAAGAAAGAAAGAAAGAAAGAAAGAAAGGACGTTATCGAGAATGAATCGGAACAGTGTAGAAAGAACCGAGAAAAAAAAAAAAAGAAAAAAGAAAACAGTTTAAAAAGTGGAGTGCAAAAATAGTAATAAATTGAGTCAACGCGAAGAGAAAGGAACCGAAAAAATGTCAGGGAAAAAGATCTAAAATAAACATATATAAACACAATTAAAAAAAGTGCCAGGTGAAAGTGGAGTGTAATGGCTACTTCATTTCCATATGCCAAATCTTTCTATTTTAACATTCATTCAAACAAGACTTAAAAAAAAGAGAGAAAAGAAAAATACAAATCAAAACAAATAAGAAAAAAACCCCCAAAACTCACAAACAAACCGGGCAACGCAAGACCACCTAAATTCCAGATACACGGAAAGAGATAACATCAGAAATGTTATCTGGCTACTACGGGTTTTCTTCCGCGAATCGGTACGAGGAGACGCTTGAATCAAAATATAACTTAAAGGCGTAGCCGCTTCACCCGTCTTACTGAATGAAAAGACTCTTTAAATAAATAAAAAATAAAGCAGAAAAGAATAAATGAATTAAATATATATATATATATATATATATATATATATATATATATATATATATATATATATATATATATATATATATATATGTGTATGTATGTAAACTGGTGGACTGTTTTTCTATTTTTCTTCTTGTTTGTTGAGAAGAGAAAAAAAATAGTTCGTTCTCGTGAGATCCAAATGAAGGTCGTATGGCGACTGAAATAGCTATTAATGGTAAAGACAAAAATGATAGAAACTCCATCCTGCAAAATAAAATAAATAAAAATACAAAAGCAGTGATAACAGTATCATCGGTTATTTACTCTATTTACATTGTAGGGACGGTTGTCCTCATCATTGTTGCCATATTCACGACGTTTCGGCCGTTGTAAACTCCGGCCTTGTTCAGGTGATTGGAATTTCCAAACGAACCTTACACTTTCGCGGTAGACTGTTCTAGCTCCATGTGCCATGCCTCTTCCAGATGTCCGATGTTATCTCCCTTTAACTCAACTCTCCAAGTTTTTGTTCACCACTGCAGTAGCCAGGTATTGAACTCACAACTCTTTCAAGGCAAGTCACTGGATCCAACCAACGCTTTTATCCACTGGGCTATGTGAAGGGCTGAAACGTCGTGAATATGACAACAAAAATGAAAACAACCTTCCGAACAATGTAAATAGTGTAAATAATTCCTCATCTCAGGAATATTGACAGAACAATATCAGTAATAATGATAATAGTTGTGGACAATGAACTTTTTTTTTTTTTTTTTAAGCATTTCACCCCAAGCAAGGCGGGAAGCCACTAGGACGCAAGGGGTTACAGAAGATAGGAAGATCAGATAGGAGTGATAGAAGATAGGATGAGGGTAGTAGATAGATTAGGGCAACTGGAGATGTCGATTGACATTACACTTGAATAGCTGGAGATTATAACTCACAGGGAAACAGGAGAAGGGAAGAGAGTTCCACAGGCGAGAGGTGCGAGACATGAAGCTATTAGAGTAGAAGAGACGGCTACATTTAGGGAGTTTCGACAGTGAAGGGGTGAGAGCGGGATGCCAGCCTCGTAGGGCGCTTGAACTCATGAAGTCTGGGAACCAGCGAATGCAGCTCCTCGGAGCAATTTCCATGAAAGTATTTGTAGAACAGACAGAGGGAGGCGACGGTGCGTCTGTGAGAAAGTGACTGTAGACGAGACGCCAGGGCAGGGCCAACCATATTGCATATCCGCTTCTGGAGCCTATCAAGAACCCCGAGGCAAACAGAAGGGGCGCCAGACCATATATGGCAGCAATACTCCATGCAAGGGCGAATTGTGGATTTGTATATCTGGAGGATCGACTCAGGGGAGAAAAACTTCCTAGCGCGGCTCAGGGAGCCAACATGACAGTCGTTACTGAAACACTTGGAACGGCTGCGAAAACCCTTTCAGAGAAGCTGAAAGAATCGGAAGTCGGAGGGAGAGTCGAACCTGGAAAACAGCATTACTAAAATCAACTAGAATACTGGGGAAGGTGCTGGAGTATTAAGATATTTGCTCTCATCTGATACTACTGATGTGAAACGAGAATGATTACAAATAATGAAGTATCAAAACTATGTAGAAAACAGTATTATTAAAATACACTAAAATACTGAGGAGGGTGCTGGATTAGTGAGGAGACATGCTGTAACTTGATCTCCAGTGAAAGTCATCCGTCTCGACTTCTGTGAAAACTCAGTGAGAATTATCATTGAAATTCGTCCTAAGGAATAATGTTAGTTCATTTATAATGAACGTTGACGCGTATACTACAGTTGAAATGTTTGAGGCTACCACTGTTAATGTTTTAATTTGGCCGCAAAAGTAGTTGATTTGTAGTTTAAATTAGAGAAAATTATACATGGTTAAAAAAAAAAAAGCATTTTATGATTAAATTTTGCTCTCGTCGAAATATCCTCCTTTAACCTTGATTACTGCAGCACACATTTTTTTGGCATTCGTTGCAAAAGTTTTTAAAAGTATAAATTTGACAATTGATTCCATTCTTTTTTCAATGACTAAGAATACTTTTTCATTTCTTTTCACTCTTCTGTCAAGTTCATCCTATGCTAATTATTTTCATAGCAGTTATGAATGTACGAGATTCATGGAAGATTGAAGTTTATAAGCAGTAAATTCGACCTTGCCTACCGCACGCTCCTTTGTGGCCGAGTCGGTTAAGGGACGTCGGCGTAAATGACGGTTCCGTATAGGATGCAGGTTCGAATCCTGTCAAAGGACGAATATTTTCTATGAAAATTTCTCGGACATTCAGGCCGGTAAATGTTATTTAATACTGTTTATTATAAACAGAGCATTTACTTAAATACTTGTATCTATAAAAAAGAACATAAAAATGTCTTTAATAAATAAAATGTCGGACTTTGTCCATTTCTTAATATGTGTGTATATGTATATGTTTTTGTGTGTGTACATGTATATATATATATATATGTGTGTGTGTGTGAGTGTGTGTGTGTACATACATGTGACTCTCAAAGTGGACATTGGGTGACGACAGTTTTTTTCATACTTGAACGCAATCTTCAGGTCATGTGTGTTGTTTGCTGGCTCTCACACACACACACAGAGAGAGATACACACACACATATGTATATAACCGAATGGGTAAATGCTTCGGCATGAAACTGGGAGTTGACCAATTAATGTAAGATATGTATATTTCTTAATATATATATATATGTGTGTGTGAGTGTGTGTTTGTGCGTGTGTGTGTGTGTATAGTCGCGTCACCAAACAACACGCATTACCTGAAGATTGAGTTCAGTGTACAATTTAATAGTATGTCGTTTTGTGGCTACACACACACACACACACACACACACACATATATATATATATATATATATATATATATATATATAGTCGTGTCAGCAAGCAACACCCATGGCGTTAAGATTGCATTCAAGCGTGAAACAGATTGTAGCCACTCGGTGTGATCTCAGTTTTTACTTTTATCTTAACAATAGGTATATCTATCCCTTATATGGAGTAATGTTACCCATAAAAAGCATACCATAAGACAATATTTTTATCATATCACACACACACACATATACACACACACACACACACACACACACACATACACACACACACACATATATATATATATATATATATATATATATATATATATATTGTACATAAAGTGCTGGTATTAATAAAAAAGTGTTCGATGTAATACAACAGAGCTATTAAGTATATATTTAAAAATATTCATATTATCCCTCACCGTTCGCACGATCCGAAGTTTTATGCAAAAATGCAATCTTCCAGTGCTGAGTAAGGACTGACTGTTATGTAAATTGAATTTAAAAATATATATTTGGCAATTAAAATTGCATATGTACGTAAAAGATTTGTATTTATTTATAGTTATTATTATAACTATTTTATTTTAGAATAGTGAATCATCAAATATTTAATTAAAGCGAGTTCACTTAATCTTATTTTAAAAATAGTATAAAAATAAAATTAAACCGTAATTATTAACAATAAATTATAATATATAATAAACTGTAACATGCACTAAAAACTAAACCGTGATTAATATTAAAAAATCATCCGGGTCTACGCGCTTGAGTAGATATTTATTTTTATGTTTACATGTAACAATCGGCTCATTTCTACTGGAACATATACTCGCTCGTTATACAATATTATCGGTCATACATTGACTGTTTAATGGACAGATCGTATTCCTCCGGCAGTTGCATTTATGTTTAGAAAAATTTACGTTTATTTGTTAGAAAGTTGTTTAT